TGATTTTTTTCAGTGAATATTCAGCTTTGTACACTGATTGAAAACATGTAATTACATTTTCTTTACATCAATCGAAAAAAAAAAACTATTCTCATTTTATGAATTTGGCATGTGATAAAAGTAATGCATCAAAACAGCTATAATTGAACCTATATATTGCTGATAATTCAAATCGTGCAAATATGAAATTTCATGCTAGTATCTGAATTTCACCTAAACTTATGAAGTTTTTATGTCGCAGTCTCTTAGCTCTGAATTTTCACTGGCGATTTCTGGAAAATTTCAAAATTTTACAATGTCCTAAACATTTTATCAAGGTTTTCTTGCACACTTCAATACCCCAGCATTCAAACAAAAAAAAAAGATCAAGAAAATCGAATCAGTATCAGCGACACAGTGCTCATCCCAAAATTCAAAACATGCAAAAATCTGTACTTAAAAAAAATGCAAAAAACTGAAAAAGTTGTGAAAATGAAAATTTCATGCATGAATGCCACAGCACTTGTATTCAATATCACTCAGAAAGCCCCTTCAGAGTAGTCTGAAGCAGGCTTTTGCTTGTGCTCCTTTATTGCGGCTGCCTGGAACGCCGCTGAAGATGCACGTTTCCTCTCCGAGCTGAAGGCACAGCAATAGTCTTTCTTAACCGCCCGCTGGTTACCTGTGCATGTTTGATCTAGCTGCAGTTCACGCAAAATAAGTGAACTAGATTTCTTGTTCCCTAAGTTGAAATGCATAACAACTTCTGCCATGGTAGTCTCAACGGCAAACAATGACGCGTTCTTGTCCTTGGGTGAGAAGCTCCAAATGACCGAATGCAAGGCCTCATTCGCATTCTGCGTCTTCCCTCTGGTGAATCTCTGCAAGAGCTTTTCGTTGGACAAGTGTTCATAAAGAGGATGCAGTGCATTGCTCACAGCCTCTGGCAAATTGTACTTGCTTTTTGGGATGGGCTCATTCCTTGCCATGGCTGCATTATACTTGCACCAAGACTCGGGGCCGTGTGGACAGAAGCTGTGGTTTGATTTCTCGTCAGTGGATGTCACATGATGATACGTAGCCCACACATCCTTGTGCATCTCATCCACATTCCCAGAATGGGATTTAAAAGCCCAGCCGTAATAACTCGTCAATTTTGTGATGAGGTCATCCATAAGACGGTTCTTGCCACTGATGCGCTCGCTGCTGTCCCCTTTGTGCTTCTGCACAAGGTTCCGAAGCGCAGTCCCCATGCGCTTCTGCACATGGTTCGAACATTCTTCTTTTCCAACATTTATGAAGCCGTACACCTTAGCTTCTTTGACAGCACTGTACGACCGGCTGTCACCATCAGAAAGCATGGTGGTGTACCTGAGGCCATGATGGGAAAGGGAGCGCTGAAGTAACATCATTGCTGCCTCTACTTCCATTTGGCCAGCCTTGCATGAGGTATTTTTCTGGCATGAATGTTTGCCTTTCCATTCAGAGTATTCTCGGCTCTCGCGTTTTGAACCATATTCACAGCCGAGGCAAAAATGAGAAAGCACAACACAGTCTAGCACATATCCTGAAAAAACTATCACAGTGGCTATTCCAATGTGAGAGGTGTGTCCTCTTGTGTGCCAGCTTCCATCAAAAGAGACGGCAATATTTCCGAGGTAGCCAAAATTGAGGTCCTTGTAGAGGCACTTTACCACTGTGGCACACTTATTCAAATGTTCAGCACAAGCTCTCGTTGCTGCTGGCTGAAGCTTCATCTTCCAGTACTATTGGTACGTTTTCATGTGAAGGCCCAGATCTGAAACACCGATAGCGACAAAAATGTCATTCAGAGCTGTCTGACCATTCCCAGTGCTCTGAAGAGCATTCGCGGTGCGAACGTTGATTTCGAACGGGTTGCAGTTACTGCTGCCACCAACCCGTCGCGAGCTCCATTTCGAACCAACTTCTCCGCAGTTGCTGCAGTGAAGCTTCAGCTTAACAACTATGCCATACTCACGCGCGTCGCGTTCGATGGTCAACTGACCACGGCACACTCTGCAAGCAGAATGTTCGTTTAGTAAACTGTTCACCATGTCGAGGTCAACCATGGTATATGTCGGAGCCGACGAATTTTCGGTGCCGCGCCGACTCGCGAGAACATTCATTTTGCGATCGGTTTCCGAGAACGAGGAAAGTTACGCTGCTTTTTGCTGGGCGCGGCGCTCGATGAGTTCTCTGTCAGCCGATGTCAAAAATGTCGCGTCTATCCTCGCAGCTCGATCGTGCATACTTGAAGTACTGCAGGCAGCGATCACAGTCGCTGCCATGCTTTCTCTGGCTGCGAGATCTGCTGCAGCAGCATTCTCTGCTGTCTTCATCACAAGCGGGGGCGTTGTTTCCTGGCACCTTGTTGAAGTATCATTGCAATCAGCTGATTCCAACGGCACTATGGTCGCCTTCGCGATAGCTTGTGTAGCAACGCCGCTTTGTCACGGAATCCGTTGCACTTTTTTGCAGAGATCTACAGATATCTTCTTCGGCAGTTGCGATGATTTATGGCACTCTGACTGCCAGTCGTCACTGGTAGAAGTTGTAGCGACCGAAGGCTGCCTTTGTGTCGGGCTGCTGCATCGCGGTGACTGCTGGTCTCCTGTCCCCTGTCCCGCTAGGCTCTGCCGAGATAGCCTGCACTGGCTGCGATGACTCCTTGGGCTGCACAGCACATTTTTTCCGTCGCTTGCCGAATTTGTGAAGTGTGAGGAACTTTCGAGCACGGTTCAGAATCTCGATTTGGATCGCAAAACTACCAAACTTCCAAAATGGCGGTATGCGCATGATCACCAGTGTTGTCAGTCCCCGCGCTCCAATCACAAGCCGATGTCTACTCACGTGACTGCTATGGACCAATGATACCGCACAGTTTTGTCGCTTGTTTTTGACTGGTAGCGCAGACTGGCTGCAGCATGAAAGGTTCATTCCTGGCAGGAAAGCGAGCTCAACAGAAACTCTCTCAAACGAGACTAAGATGGCCGCGCTCCGATGAGTGGTTAGCGCGATTCAAGCAACGCAAAAGGGGGCCGTTTTCGGCGTTTTCGTAAGCGAAAGGAAGTGCTGGGATGAATAAACACATCATTTTTTGGCTCAACGACGCGTCATTTCGAGTTCATTTTTTGCTGGCAGGTGCGGGATGATATGAAGATAACGAAACTCACTAAACTGAAAAATCAACTTTTTTGGCGTTTTTTGTCGCCAAGACCCGTGTCCCCCCTTAACGTGCATTTAAATGTAAGCACACGGGTCTCAAGCATTTGCGCAACCTATAGCAATATATTGCCTCACTGCAACAGTGCAATCTTGCTCAGTGCGTGCGAATATGTCTGTGGCACGCTCCCGCGCCGGAACATCGCACCGCATTTTTCTCCAACGCATGCGACAAGTGGCTTGACTGCACAGCTGTTGAACATAATGACGGACCTATGCGCAACTCTGCTCCCATAAAGAGCATATACAGTAACTCTACCATAGCGTGACCTACAGGTGGACGGACGAATGAACTAGACAGTGAGCTCACGCGAGTCAAGCGCCAGCCCACTAGTGACATGCCGCTGCAGGAGCTTTTAGGCCTTCTCCAGCACGCTAGCTGCGCACCCTGTTATGTCCCTAGCCCTCGAACATGCGCAGCACAGTTCTCGATGAGCTACGCGAAAATGCTCAACCTCAACCAGTGTAGCTTATGCTAGAAAAATTTTTGCACATATCTGTAACACAGCTCCGGTAACATTTGTATTACTTCGTCCTGAAGTTCAATGGAAACCACTTCTAGTAAAATAAAAACAACCAACCACTGCCACAACCCTCGAAAAGGTTTTGAGGTCCTGCCTGCGTGAATACTACAACCTGTCATTGCGTGGATTAAAAACCAACAGTGACAAGCTCACGTATGTGTTCACCTAAGACAACACGAAAGCAAAAGCCACCTAGTGTGGGTACATGGTAATCAAAATCACCAAATCATCATATTTGATAATTATATACATCATGATGATCCGATAGTGATTTATGATGTCCTCATCAGCATTACAATGTTTGGAGCTATTCATGTTGACAATGAATACTATGCTAACGGTGACTTTGTCCAATTGATGAGGCATGTAGGGCTTCCGCTTTACTAAAAACTGACTAACTGATGAAACAATTAACTGATGGCCTCATAGTCTCGCGTCTCCATAGCCAACAGACATACTATCTTACAAACATGACATACAGCCAGCACCCTGTCTGTTGTTCTATCACCATCCCACGTCTAGCACCCTTTGTTCTCGGCTTTCTCATAGTTGTCACTATGACCAAAGAGTTTCTTATACAGTTAAACCCCTTTATAAGAGACATGCTCCGCGCAGCAATTCTTGCCTTTTATATGAGATGTCTCTTATAAGCAGGGTACCTCATATATATTTTCTTGTCAATCCACATTTTACTGTAGGCACACTTGTGTCTCTTATACCCATTTGTCTCTTATATCAGTGTCTCTTATAAAGGGGTTCGAATGTATGTACACTAGAGGGAACTCTGGAAATCATGTCAACGGGAGCTGCAACGCACACTTCAGCTAGCATTGGAATAATGGGCAATACACGAATTTGTTTAATTTTTGTTCTTCCGGTTCCATGCGGCTTTGCGCAGCCTGGAGCCACTTTATCATGAGACGACAATCGGCAAAGGTTATGCAGTTGCACTTCACCGCTTCGACTTTTTTAGGCGCGCCAATTCAAATCGGGCATGAAGTTCAAAACGATCTGTTCTCTTATTCGAAACAAAACCAAAACACAGCAATAAACGAAGCCGCAAGTGCGATTCGCTGCCTGCAAGTACAAAAAGAAGTCAAATCCGTCTACTACCAATCATTCCCATGGTCGCTGAATGATCGCAGCGCCGAAATCCCCGCTAATTAATTTTAGAAAGCTCTATGGCTACAACATCCTATATACAACTAGCACAAAAAGACATGCCAGCTGCCCTCGCCCAGTTTGCCCCCTCACCCGTGGGCAGCTCCTCGTCGTCCGTGGTGGGGAGGTCATCCTGCGAGAGTGCGGCAATGCAGTAGAGGGGCGATGCCGCGGCAGACCCGAAGGTGCTTCCGAGCTTGGTGATGCGCGGACGCACGGGCAGGCTGCGCAGCCCCCGGTGCCCCCTGGAGGGCACGTTGTCCTCCTCATCACTGCTGCTGCTGCTAGAGCTACTTCCCCCGTTGGTGGCTTCGGGAAACTCCTCGTCCAAACAGAGCGGGAACTCCCAGTCTGCACAAGGCATGTCTACACTCAAACCTCATAATAACAAAATTGCGTCTTACACGAAATTAACTTTGTTATATCTAAAATTTGTTATAAATGTTTATTGCTATGTCTATTGCAGGACTATTTTTCATTTACTACATTATAACCGATATTTCGTTATATCCGGGTTCATAGTATCGAAGTTTGGGTGTACGTTGTCACTGCCACAGAGAACAGCCGAGACAGAAACAAAATACCGTATTTATTCGAATGTAACGCGACGATGATTGTAACCCGAGCAGTGACTATTCAGTGCCGAAAAAAAAAAAAAAACATGAATGTAACCCGAGTAAAGTGGGGGAGAAAAGTACCTTTATTTGCTGCACATGGTACTAGCGAAGACATCCCAGTTTCTAAAGATGAAGCGAGTTTTGTTCATTCGTCGTTTTCATCGCCATCATTGCCAGTGGTCGAGCCCTCTTTGTCATTTTTTTCCTCCCAGATGAGGTCATCCGCCGTGCCATCCATATAGTTCGATTTACAGCACTTTTTAAACGCGCGAACTACCGTGTTGTGTGGCAGGCCGTACCAATCTGCAGACACCCACTCAGAAATCTTCACGGCGCTAGGTCACTTTATCCTACCCGTAGGTGTCATAGCCCGATCTTCTCGCATCCATTCTCCTAACAGCTGCTGCATTCTATCCTTAAGTGGTTTGTTCAGGCAGACGTCTAATGGCTGCAGCACGGACGTCATACCTCTAGGAATAACGGCGAGTTGCTTCTGAGCTTCCGGCATCAGCTTCTTCACTTTGGGTGTCAGGTGACCGCAAAATGAGTCGAGAACTAGGATGGAGGCGGGGTGGAGGAACGCACCTGGCCGCCGGCACCACACAGTCTTGACTCAGTCAAGCATAAGTGGAGTCTCCATTTAGCCTTTTTCTTGGCAGCGGACAATCACATCCCTGGGTAATAGCTCCTTCGGGATGGTTTTGCGCCAGAAAATGATGTATGGCGGCAACTTGCACCCATTCGCCAAGCAGGCTAGCATCACGGTTAGCCGCATCTTTTCGTCTGTACGGTACTCGTTTGTTGACAAACACCCAGTTGTATCCACGCCAGAGGTGGTGGCGAGCCTCTGTAACTCAGCGTCTGGGGGTGAGGTACCTCGGAAAACAAATAGACACTGGTCCACTCTGCCATGGTGTGTTCCCAAAAAAGGCTAACACCATAATTCGCTATGCGATCAGAACAGTGCCGGAATGACTGAAAGAATGGCAAGCTCCTGCAATCTGACGACTCAGAAGTGCTGGCATTAGGAACGCATTCCTTGAGACAGGACCTGACAGACTAGGCAGCTTTGGCAGGAGGTGCTTGCGTCCCTCTGTAATCCAGCGCATGTGGATGCCGCGGCTAATGGTGCATTCAGACGACGGACCAAATCCGGATTTGTCGTGGTTGCGGACGGCTAATCCGCGGATGATCTGCCTGCAGGCGCATCCACACGACGGACAGTGTCCTAGAAGAAAACAGCCGGACAACTTTCGACAGCAGATTCGGCGCTCACCTACGCCCACTTGCAGCAGACCGGTTTGAGAGTATTCGACAACATGGACGCCGACAGGAAGCGACGCTTAGCTGCAATGGCTGTCGCGTTGTGTGAAATTGACGAGGACTGTTATTCCTTCCGGAGAAAACGGAGTTGCTGGCAGAAGGACTGGGTGGGAAGGAAAGAATTAGGCGTCCAAAATCTTTTGTACAAAGAGCTTTTGAAAACTGACCACGAAGAATACCGGAGGCTGCTACCGTAATTACTCGAATCTAACGCGCACCTTTTTTCCGGTTAAGCGAGTTCATAAATCGCATGCGCGTTAGAATCGAGTACGAACAAAAAAAAATACGGTCAATCTATTGCCATCGCAAATCCAAAATGGCCGCCCCCTACGTGCGTCGGCATGGTGCGTCGGCTATTTCTGCCTATGTGTTTACCATGTGCGGCACTTCGTGCGTGTGCTGAGGAGTTCGTCATCTAGTAGTGCATTAGCATCGACGACGTGGAAGGGCCGACTCCAAAAACTCGAGGGCACCACGATGCCGCTTTTAAAAGAAAAGTCATCGCGTGTGCAGAAACGGACGGAAATCGGGCCGCATCGCGGTCCTTCTCGAAACGTGCGTGCGGGACCGGCGGAAACAAAAGCAGAAGATTGTCGACAGCAAAGCTTCACGCAAAGGCTTCAGTGAACCACAGCAGGGTCGGTTTCCGCAAATTGAAGAGCTGCTCCGCGAGTATGTGCTTGAGGAGCGAGCGGCACAGCGGCCCATGACGACAGAACTGCTCCAAGTGCGGGCTATGCAATTAGTCTTAGAAAAAAGTCTAATGCGGAGCCTGTTTAAAGCGAGCAGGTTCTGGCTAATTAACTATATGAAGAGGAAAGGCTCTTCCCTCTGAAGGGGAACATGCATATGCGAAAACTTTTGCGGAGAAGTACGATGAAAAGCTTCACAGTTTTCAGAGGTTCGTCCTAAACTTGCGGCGCAACAACGGCTACCTGCTTGGGCAAATCTGGAATGCCGATCAGACGCCTCTTTACTTCGACATGCCTGGCACCACAACTGTCGAGAAGAAGGGGGCGAAGCAAGTTCGCGTGCTGACATCGGTCCACGGTAAAACTACAGTGACGGCAATGCTCTGTTACACGTCAGATGGGCACAAGCTTCGCCCGTACCTCATATTTAAATGGAAGACAATCCCGAAAGGAATCGTTTTTTCGAGTGGTGTGATCGTGCGGGCCAGCAAAAAAAAAATGGGTGCGTGTTGCAATCGATGTCTTACGTTTTTTTTTTTTTTTTCGCGGTGGAAATCGGGTGCGCGTTACAATCGAGGGCGCGGTAGAATCGAGTAAATACGGTAAGTGTCAGCAGAGAGCAGTTTCTGCAACTGCTGTCACGCGTGGAAACTCGCATACGAAAGAAGGATACAGTGATGCGCCAATCTATATCGGCAGAAACATGACTGCAAGTCACGCTGCGGGACCTCGCTTCAGGTAGGTGTCACACGATTGCATGTTTTTGTGGAAACCTTTGTGCATGCGAAAGAAGCAAGACCAGTGTAGACCAGTTGCATGTGACCGCGTTGCGGCACCCAATTTCTATATATGAACACGCTCAAAATCATATTCAACTGTGTACATGTAACAGTAACATTCAGCGTAAATGTTTCTAGCGAATATTCTACTAAACTGTCGCTATATAACAACTGGATATCATATGTATTTGTACACTTCGTACATTTTGTTGTCTGGCGCAAATAATTGACTAAGAAAGTTGCTTTTATTTTTCGTTGCAGGAGAGAGCCAGCATTCGCTCAGCTGTCAGTTTAGATTGGGCCATTTTAGCGTGAATGACATTACTTATGAAACGTGCCGTGCCATCTACGAAGAGCTAGGAGGAGACCTCATAAGAACACCCGGCACCGAAGAAGAGTGGAAAAATGTAATGGACGGCTTCAGTCAGAAATGGAATTTCCCGAACTGCATTGGAGCAATTGATTGGTCAGTTGTGACCGGTTTGGTTTACGTCAACCGGATGAGCGAAAGAATAAACTAGACAGGTTTGCGTGGAAGCCTAGCCTGACCACCACTGCACGTACAACCGGCCCGAAATCACAGAACCAGAGGACTATTTGTACGTAAGCGCCTGCTGGTATTTGACGATTGCTCATGGGACAGCCTATTCCCTGAAAATGTTCTTACAGTAACATTGTTCGCCCACGTGTGGCTCTTGTTAACGCGTCTCCCGTCCTTTTTTACAAGCGGTATGTCAGTGGTGGCACAAGTTAAAATATTTCCCCACCACGGGGAAAGCACAGAACAATAGTGCTATTGTACGTGAGCACCTGCTGGCGTTTGATGATGGCAGATGTGAGGCTATTCCCTGAAAATGCTCTTACAACCACACTGTTCACACACGTGCGGCACTTCTGAACGCGTCTCCCGTCTTTTTTTTACAAGCGGCACATCGCCTGTACAGAAGTTAAAATATTTCGCCACCATGGCGGCTCAGAAACTCACTTGTCAAACGACGGCGGCGACATTTTCCTAACCACCAAAAATAACTTCCGCGTATTTAATCACCTGAGAACAGAGCACCCCGAAAACTAAGTAAACCATGCTCAAGCGTAGATAATGCCGACCAGTCATGCAGCTGTCCGCGAGCCATGGAGGACATGCTGCGAGCAGACGAAAAGTGTACTGGTTGCCACCGACTCCAAGCTATTCCGCTGAAGTACCGGCTCTCCCCCACCAGAATCCCGATGTGAGAAACAGGTTGGGTTCATCTGTCCGCGAGCCGCGCGGACGAGGGGAATCGCTGATGTGAGGTCACGTGACGCGTCGTCCGCCCCGCCACATCGGGATTCGGTCCGTCGTCTGAATGCACCATAAGGAGTCGGTCCTTGCACACCAGGCAGAGAAGTTTCCTGTCCATTCCATGATCCAGGTGCCTGGACGGTATGGGTGGCGGCGCGCCCACGTAATCCAGCTTAGTTAGAGCCGCAACCTCGGATCATGCCCTTTCCACCTCCAAGAGGTCCGCCACGGGCAACGCGTGAGTGGAGTCGGATGCTCACATGGCTAAGAGGAACGGAACAGCGGGGAGTCCACCTCGCCCTCACGGTTCTCGTGCAAATGTTACTGCTGGCATGCCACTGCTACGCAGATGGTGGCACAAGAGGTTCGCTAGTTTTTGTTGGTGCTGTGCGCAGAGCGCAGCGCTGGGCTTGCGGCCCTAGGAGGCTTGGCTATTTTGATAATGGAACGATCAATGAACTTGCCCGGCCACCTGTTTCACTGACAGTCTCTGACAGAGGCATGTCCAAGAAAACGGGAGTCTGGTCCGCGTTGCCAATGTGCCTCAACGGCATTTGCGACGAGCGGCGCAGGTCGAGCACATAGCGCTGAAACTCCACTAGCTTCGCTTCGCAACCTGCTGGTAGCTTCTGCCTTATCGATGTTGTTCACCGGAGGA